AAGCGTGAGCCAACAGCCGGAACCCTTTAACCTCACCTGCTGTGGCTCCCCCATGAGCATCGCATCACACACACACACATACACACACACACACTCACACTCACACTCACACCGCCTTACACTCCCAGGCTCTCAGGAGTAGCCGCGGTGACTTCCACTTACTTCATAAATAAGTGTAGCCCTCCACCATCTGGCGCTCCGCTTCAGCTAAGGATTCGCCCATTCAGCCCCCATTCACTTGGCTTCATTGATCTCCAGCAGCAACATAGTTACTTTCTCTTTTGCTACACTGTAAATGTAAGGTTCTGAGGGGGCGGGCCGGCTGCCGACCGACGGCACGTTGGGCCAATAGGAATCCGGAGAAAGCTGACCGCTACCTCACAGAGGCCCGCGGCCAATGGACAGCCGGGGGGGAGGGGCCGGGGGCGTGGCATCGTCTCTTTAAGGAGGGTTTATCCGACGCCGCTCCGGGTCCTCAGCGTTATAACACGGGCGGTGATGTCATTGGCAACCAATCAAAAACTTAAAAGGGCCAGCCGGGGCCCGCGCGGAGCAGCTGCTCTCTATTTACATGTAAACCGAACCGGCTGGATGCAGTTAACCCTTTCCGGGGCTGAAGTGTCAATGGGCCGGACTCGCAGCTCGGGCTTAAAACTGGCTCTGTCCCTTTGCCCGGATCCCCTTGCGGCCCCTAGCCCGGGGGCAGATTGCTCTTTTCCCTCCTTACTCAGGACGGAAGATCAAAAGTGTCGGAGTAACTTTCTAAAGGCAAGAAACTATAATCGCCGTCCCCCCGTGGGGAAACCGGGTTCTCCTAGTCGCCCGAGGTGCTTTGACAAACCCTAGACGTCGCCGAGCCGCCTGCGGTGGGACCGACGTGAGCGAGCAGCCAGGGGCGTCGCTTCCGCACCGGCCCGCGAGCACCAGCCAAGCGCTGGGGGCCGGGGCACGGGCGCAGCTGGCGAGCCGGCCGGCAGTCCCCGGAAAGGGGGGCCCACCCAGCCAAGCTGCGCCCCGCGTCTTCGAGCCGCCCCGCTCGGCTCAGCGCCGCCGGGAAGCGTCGGCCGCCCGCCCGCAGATGTCGCTGCCCCTCCGGCTGCCCTAGTGCTACCCCGCGCGGCAGTGGCGCGGCGCCCTCTGGCTCGCTTGCATCTGCGCCCCGGTCACGCCCCCACCGTCCCCCACCCGCTTCCCGGGGCTCTGCCGGGAACACCAAGGCGGCTCTGCGGAGGGCTGCTCAGAGGCGGCGGCCTGGGTCCAGGCCAGAAGCGGCAGGGAGCGCGCCCACTAGGCCGGGCGTCGCTGGGCTCACCGTGCGCTTGCCACACCCCGGCGGCCGCATCTCCCGCCCCGCGCGCAGGGTCCCAGCTCCTGGCCTGCAGCCCGCCGTCCCCACGCCCTCGGCAGCCGCCCCGCCACCCCGCAAGGCCCCAGGCGAGCCGAGGACAGCTAGCCCGGCGCTTCTGAAACACCACCGCTGGAGGAAAGGAGTTGGAGCTGAGTGTGAATAACTAGATCGAGTGTAGCCTGCGGAGCGTCGAGGAGGCGGCGCCGACCCTCTGGGTTTTCCAGCAGGGTTGTTTTTTTTTTGGTGATTTTTTATCTGCCGTCCGCTGGGTCGCAGGCCCAGGCATGCGTCCCGAGGAAAAGAGTGGGGGGCGAGGCAGGCCGGCTTGCGCCTGGGCACGAAAATATCAGGGAAACTGCGGGAAAGTTATCTTGGGCTATGCAGAGGAGTGGAGATGATAAGATGAACTACGGAGAGCCTGCATCAAAGAACCCTCAAGAAATAGAGCTTTTCCTTTTCCCTCTCCCGTCTCAGAGAGCCAGAAGCGACGGAGTTTAATAATGACAATGGAGTACATTATATTAGGAGCACTATAGAATATTTGGCTATGAGTTTTTTCTCTTACTAGATTGAAGGTGTTTGGAGATATACTTAAGGCTCCAGGACTATTAAGTAAGCTAAGTGGCAGCGACATATTCATATGATTGCTTTCAGTGCAGATCTAAAATCAGAAGATGCCCAGAGTTGGCCAGCTACACGCTCAAAGAGCTACTAAGAGAAATCCCCTTGGGTTCCTCTAGGGTGGAGGGGAATATATGTATAATTTTTACATATGTGCATACACATACACAGTCCAGCCTTCACACCCATGTTTCCACGTGCAGTAAATGCAAACAATCATCTTAAAAAGGAAAGGGTTTTGGGTATCCCCTTCTGCATTCACACACCAACACACATACACATTCATGCTCTTAATGATAACTAATGAGTACTTAGGGCACACCCTTTCTTTGGTCCTTACACCTTGGGGATCAGCAGGTCCTGGACAAGGAACTGGTTCTGGGTAATTTCATAGAAATCAGAAAAGAAGTTCCCAGAGGGTCTACCCTGGATCTGTCTGGAGCTTTAAGAGCTTGCCTTTCCCTAACCATAGACAATTATTGAAAAATGTTTGCTAATTCAGGGTCAGAAAGTTCTGGTTTTAAGTCCCGATTCTCTCATCTGTAGTGTCTGTTCATCCAGAGTCACTGTGTTTATTTATTTATCTGTAAAATGGTAACACCTCAGCCCAGAAGGAAAAGTCCTGGTGGGAGTGCTGGGGGCAGGGGGTGGCAAGAGGGGACACCATGATGACTTGCTGATAAAAGGCATTCAGTAAAAAAGCATTGTCCTTGCTTCCAGAGACTGGGTGCCTCTGTTTAAAAGCATTTGTGATCTCTAGATTATGAATTCATTGCTAATGCCTCACTATCTAAACCCAAACAAAGTAGGGATTTATATAATAGCAGAAGAGTTTATAACAGCTTTTCCCACAGACCCAGAGGGGAATGTCACTTCAAAAACAAATTTAACTCATTTAATGAGATGATTATTTTATTATAGTTTAAAACTAGTGGATTATTATAATTTAGTTGACTAAGAGTCAAAGCCATCCAAACTGAAAAATTAGGAAAAATGGCAAAATTCCTCATCATTTATCAAACTTGAAACATGGAAGAATTACCAGATCATTAACGTATACAAACATGTAATTATTTTTTAATTAAGCATCTATAAAGGTATAGCCTATGTTCAAATTATAGAGTGTAGAAAACAGATTACATATGGCTGTTTTTTCAGTCATTACACTTCTGAGCTGCTTTTGTACAAAAAGAGGTGATTTTGTTTCTTTTCTTTTTTTTTTTTGAGTCATAAATGTGAAAACACTATCTGAAGTACTGCCCGTAGTTTTAAATTTGTAATACCAGCCAGCCAATGGCTATGAACCTGATCTGTATAGAAATAGCCAGCAAAGACTTAATGTTCAATTTTAGTCCCAAAGAAACAACAAAGCATCTTCAGTGTATTTGAGTGTTCTGACATGATTGTGCTGAGCCATATCTTTGTTCCAACAAACATCATGAGGAAAATACTGTTTTGGTGGAAAGCACTATATGTTAAAGCCAAAAGATGAAGATAACTTAGGCCAACATATAAGATATAATATGGATAATGTTGAAAAAATGTATTAATTAAATGACTTCCTTAATGTGCCCTCAAATGGTGTTACGTGTCTGGGATGATGGCAGAAGGTAGGGACCGGTGTGAGAGCTGGGTTTTCAAAATAATCCTCAAGGTCGAGATGGATTCATGGAGGTACTAGAATTAAGGCAGAGAAAGGCTTAAAGAAAACTTAGAAATAATACATCACAAGATAAAGGTGATAGTAAGTAAATTACCAAGAAGTGGGGAATGAGCCGAGGGATAGAAAGGTGAGGTGTCCAAGGAGCTGAGGTCATTGAGGCTGGCCTGGAGAAACATCCCAAAGCACTTTCCAGGCCAGAGAAAGGCTGGTGAGAAGGATCCCCTAAAAGAGGTGGCCACTCCTGTGTTTGGGGGGTGTTGGAAATAGAAGCCGGCCCATCTGCTTGTCTCACTATCCACGAGTTTGGACACAGGAGGCCTATAGATCTTTCTCATTAAAGTCATGGGTAGGTTGCACCTGTGACTTTGGAAAAGGCTCTGAGCCATGGAAGGTTCTGTATCTGAGTTTTCCAGTATGGCAGCCATTTGCTACATGTGACTACCGAACACTTACAATGTGGCAAATACAAATTTAAATGCGATGTAAGTTTAAAATACATGCAGGATATTGAAAACTTCATGTAAAAAATGTAAAATACCTCAGTTATTTTTATGTCCACTACATGTTGAACTGTTTGGATATGTCAGGCTAAATAAAATTTTTTTAAGATTTTATTTATTTGAGAGCAAGGGAGAGAGCATGAGCAGGGGGAGGGGAAGGGGCAGAGGGACAAGCAGACTCCCTGCTGAGTGATTGAGTGGGGCTCAATCCCAGGACCCTAGGATCATGACCTAAGCCAAAGGCAGACACTTAACTGACTGAGCCACCCAGGCACCCCTAAATAAAATATGTTAGTGAAATTAATTTTACCTGTTTCTTTTTACCTCTTAGAATATGACTATTAGGAAATTGGAAGACTTAATGCACTTTACATCTTTTAAAGTGTGGGCAGTGCTGTTCTAGGGCCTGTAATCCCTCCTTTGATTTGAGGACACTTTGGTGCCAAAGGCACCAGAACCACAGAATGTTAGACCCGAAGAGGACTTAGAGCGTATCTAGGCCGGTGGTTTTCAAACTGTGTTAGGATGAACCACAGGGAATGGAGACACCAGTGCCAGGCGAAGGGTAAAGCCAGAGCCCTGGTGGTAAGCTGGAGGAGCTCTGAGACCATGCACCCACCCCCTACCCCCAACTTGAGATGTATTCTTCTGTTCCTGAGACTCCAAAGTAAGATTTCATCTGAAGAAAGAACTCCAGCTGGTATTTTGTTTTGTTTTGTTGTTTTAATTCTGGCCCATCATTTTACCTATAAGGCAACTGGAGGCCCAGGGAATGGCAATGACCTGGCCGAAGCCATGCTTGACCTCAGGACTCAACCTCAATTTCATCTCAAGGTCCAGTGTGGCCTCTACAGTGGAGGAAGTGACTGACCTGTTGGGGACTAATAAACTCCCTGTCTCAACTGGGAGGCAACTGGACACCTTTCCAAACTCTTCCTCCCCCTCCACTCGTCCCTCCGTTTGTGACCTCAGAAATACCTCCTGCTCTTTGTCAAAACAGATTCTGGCTAGGTCCATGTGTGTGGATCATTGACACAACTTCTTTTCTTTATGAAAATACCAAACAAAAAACTCACTGGTGGTTGGTTTCCAGGAACGTGTTGCTCTGGGATGGAAGGCCTATTATTATTGTGTGTTGCTACATCAAAGACTTAACATTTTCCCCTTTGCCAGGCTGAGCGATCATCTTCTCATTAGAAAATGCTGTCAGACCCACAGTGGCTCAGCCCCAGCAGGCTGTGACTGAGAGCTGTGAAGGGACCTCCTGGGATGCCAAGACAAGCCCAAGCCTCCAAGGTAAACATGCCCTCTAAGCATTCCTCAAGCCCCTCTGACCTGGGTCAGGTCTAACGTGAAGGAATTAATCTTACATCCACAGCATCTTTTAGTCCTGGATAGAACAAGCTCCTTCACATGGCCCAGTGTGTCACACGGTGCCTTACTTATCTTTACAAAATTAAACAGGGACTGAACTGGCTTTAAAGATCTGGCATTTGGAAAATAAGAATAACGGGTGCGGAGTCTTGTTTCGTTCTGTGCCCAGCACTGCTGCAAGTGATCTACGTGCATTAACTCACTCAAAGCTTCACATCCGCATCGCGGCTATAAGTAAGTACTACTTTTATTAGCCTTAATTGAAAGATGAGGACACAGAAATACAGTCGGGTGAAGAATCTGCCCCGGGTAACACAGCTACAAAACAGCAGAGGCAACATTTGAACCCAGACAATCCGGCGCCAGAACATCTGCTTTTAACCATTATGTGTGATTTAATTCACTCTCTCTGTGATTTTATAAACTTCTATCGTATTTGCCTCCATCTCCAGACAGCCGGCGTACTTTTAATTGCCTCTTTGTGAGAATTCGCTGTTTTTTTCCTCTGCTTTCTCCTGAACTTCTTTGGAGTCCCTTATGTCCTCACATGGACTCTCTCGCTGCTGGATCCTCCACATTTGGGACGGGATCGAAACCTCCACTTTGTTTCCAGAATCCTCCCAGAATAGCGCTCTAAACTTGGTTAGTGTTTTGGTCGCTGCTGCAGGCAGCGAGGAAAGGCCTAAGACAGCTCCGTTACCCAGACCTGGACTAGTCCACAGTCCCATCCCCAAGCCAGGCACTGGGGCTAGTGTGGAGTGGAGCATGAGCTCAGGAAGTTCCTGGTGAACGAAGAAACGCGCGGCTGAATGATCTGAGCACGTTTCTTACGCATACCCTTGAACTGCTTTTCCCTAGATGCACACCCTGGCACGTCTGATGCCTTTGAAGCTACTGATCTGGGCCTTCTGCCATGGGGAAAAGTTAAGGCACCTCTGAAGTCCCTAAATCCAGCCCTCTTCTGAATTACTTATGCAGATATTAACCAAATGTCTATCTCTACGGAGCCCCATTGTTTGTGCATCCCTTTGTTTGCTTACCATATTCTCTCCCTTCATAGTTTAACTTCAATTTCTTTTTCTCCTGGCTTCTACGGAAATATCAACATCTTCCTCATTACCATCCATCTCATTATGATCCGTATCATACTCAAATTTTGCATCTGTCAGCACTCTGTGCACTGTGATAGTCTTCCATGCTCAGGAAAATTTCACCTTTCGTGCGCGCTGAGTTTTAGCAGAAGGAAGGCATGTTCCTTTTCTCTTTCAACATCTTCCCTTTTGTAATATTCAAAGGCATCCGTTTTCATGTGCTTCTCTCCCGGCCAGGCAGCTCGGCCAGTGTTTATTTTCCAGCATGTAACTGATGCTGATGAATAGATTTTTCAGAAAGAGGCATTTCATCCAAACCCGTGCCTGGAAGCCCACAAGTTCTTCGTCCTACTGAGAATGGGTGATGTGCTCTTAAAAACATGCTGTTCCGGTTCTGGACTAGATGGGGAGCAGTGACCTGAGAAGTCTGTTTTTAGTGTTCTGTGAACACTTGCTGTGTTCTGTGAAGGTGGCTCATGTCCCCATAGGCACCCAGCTCGGGGGAGGGGGGTGGGGTGTTCAGTGTTGTCCCTGATTTATGTGGTGGATAAAGCAACCACTTTAGAATTACATTCTCAGCTTGCAAGCGCTAAGAATGCACAAATGTGGCAGAAGAGTCCCTTTCTGGGTGAATTGAAGTGTCCACCATGGGTTGAGTACGGAGCCCACTGGAACACCCGGGCACGTAGTAGATGTTCAAATAAATGCAGGTCAGGTCAGGTCAGGTCGTGTCAATGCAAGATATTCACAAGTAAGAGTAAAATCCCTATTGAAGTCGACTAGATTTGTAGTTCAAGCAGGAATCTTAGAGAAGAAGAAAATGTTATCGATGCCATAAACTTCCAGTTCACAAAAAATATATACAATTTAAAGAAGATAAATAGATTGGATCAGAAGGTGGCCACACAGAGCTGGTGCTGTGCATCATTCATCTGCCAACGCATGGAGTTTGGGACAGGTGTGTGTAGGGGACATATTAAGATGTATAATTCACAGGGAATTCTTAGCCACCCCCAATATTGCCTTTTGCAATTCCTATTCCTAGGAACCAGGAAAATGGATACTACTTGATAAATTGCTATTCTGAATTTTAAATTGGATTAATAACAACAACCAATCCAATGAAGTGTTTTCTCTATATTCTTCACAGACCAGAAATGCCAGCAGATTCTGATTCCTTTTTCCATGCATCATCCCAATCCTCATGTAATATGTGAGTTCTTGAGAATGTGGATAAAGAAGTTAGATATTCAGACATTTTGCCCATCAAGATCATCCAGCATATTCCACCGATGGTTGCTTCTAGCCCATCTAGCATTTAGAACTACTTTCTAGAAGGTCAAACTTTTGCTTTCCCACTTTCTGCCCTCCAATCATCAAAATTAGTTGTGGAAGGAAGAAGAAAGGACCAAAAGAAGGAAGGAGAGAAGGCAAAAGGAAGACAGAGATGGCTGGGAATTTTTGTTCGGTTTATAAATTTTTTGCTTGTATTTTTGACTGCAGGATTGGGAGGTGTATACTGGGGCAGAGAAAGAGCAAAGAGTGGACAAGTAGAGGAAATGTTGCCAATTCCAGACATTTTTGTTTTCACAAGCAAGACAGACGGGAACAGAATCTGGCCACAGCAAGCAGTTTTGAATGCTTTGCAGCCAAACACGTGGTGGCCCTGATGCTGAGTCTGGCGGTCCCCAGCAGACACTGGACCCCCGCACCTGGGATGGGAAGGAAGCGGTAGGGCTGTTGATCTTGATGCATCTCTCCGAGGGGCAGCTCTGACTCAGGTGGCAACAGTCTGCTCCTGTGCCCGGCCATGGAGCCTCAAGGATGAAAGCATTTAGTCTCTGCCTCTGGGAAAGCTGAATGAGGGGAAATTTTAGGATGTTCCAGTACATGCCCAGAGCCACTGTATTTGAACCCAGGACAATCCCAAAGACAAGTTCCTCTGATCTCACAATATGAGGAGCAGATTGTGCTTCTCTCCAATGAGGGTGCAGAGCATTTCCCTCTGTGTGTTTAAGCTACCATGATTTTCACCTCTGATGATTCATTTCATGCGTCAACTCAGCTGGGCTACGGTGCTAAGATAGCTGGTCAAACATTATTCTGGATGTTTCTGTGAGGGTTGTCTTTTGGATAAAACTGACACTTAAACTGATGGACTTTGAGTGAAGCAGATTATTCTCCATAATGTGGGTGGGCCTCATTTAATCAGTTGAAGGCATCAAAGATTGATCGCCCCCAGGCAAGAGAGAATTCTACCAGCAGGTGGCCTTCGCACTTCAACTGCAACATGGGCTCTTCCTACGTCTCCAGTCTGCTGGCCCATCTTGCAAATTTTGGACTTGCCAGCCTTCTTAATCACATGAGCCAATTCCTTAAAATAAATCTCTCTCTATGTATATTATATGTAAGTCCTTTGGTTCTATTTCTCTGGACAACCCTGACCAATACACCTTTCTTTCTTTTTATGGACAAAGCAGAGAAAAGCCTAGGAGATGCACATTGTGTCGTGTGTTAACCCATCTCCGTTCCTGTCCTGAATTACTAAAGACACACTCAATTGAGTGCATCTTCATCTGACTGTCTTAATGTCCAAGAGTTTAAAACTAGTGAAAGGGTGATAAGGATACTCTCAATAAATCTAAGATAGAAAATCTTTTTAGGGGCACCTGGGTGGCTCAGTCGGTTAAGCGACTTGCCTTCAGCTCAGGTCATGATCCCAGGGTCCTGGGATCGAGTCCCTCATCGGGCTCCTTGCTCAGCGGGGAGCCTGCTTCTCCCTCTGCCTCTGCTGCTCCCCCTGCTGTGCTTTCCCTCTCTCTCTTTCTCTCTCTGACAAATAAATAAAATCTTTTTTTTTTAAAAAAAGCTTTTTAAAAAACTTAATCTAAGATAGGATAACTGATACAGAAGGAAAACAAAGGTCTCACTCTACCCCACCCCACCCCTCACAATTTATTAGGAAAATGTAGAAACTCCCATTTGGCTTTGGATTCTAAAGCAATCTAGAGATTGGAAAGATAAAAATAACCCCGGAGTTATGTTTCTGAGCTCCTTATTTGTGTCCATTTAGCCTGAAGGAAGAAAGATATGAATATGTTTGCTTTCCCCCAAATGCATATTTAATCTTTATCTAAACATCCTGAAATTGGAGCTTGTCGGGAGTTTCCACAGTAAGTACAGATTGCTTTCTCAGTTTTCTATCATGTATTAAGAGCCATTTTAAATCACAGAACTAATGTTGCAGTTACTTAATTCTGGTTACTTTTGCTTTTCCAAGGTAATCGACATGCGGTTGGATCATTATAAGATCTCAGCATAGGAGCCTAAAGAGTGGACTTCTCAAAATGAAGAGGTCACAGTCACAAAACCACATCGGAGACTAAAGCGTCCTCTATTTCTGCAGCTACATAGTGTTTTCAGTTTCCCTGGCTCTTTATCAGGAATGTGTGGGGAGCTTGACTCCAAATCTACAACTCTGCTTCATCCTCCCCAGTTTCTAGCAGACCAGAAGCCTGTTCTCTAGACCAGAGCTTCTCCAATTCTAGATTCACACAGATTTTTACCGGAGTATCTTATAAAAATGCTGGCTCCGATTCAGTAGGGTGGAGATGCGACCCAAGATTCTACATTTCCTAATACACTTCCCCATGATTTTGATGCAGCTGGTCCACAGATCACACATCTGGACCCAGACCATCCAATTCAGTAGCCACCAGCCATGTGTGCCTCTTTGAGCATTTGAATTGGGGCTAATCTGCATTAACATTGACTCTAAGTGTAAAATACATACCAGGTTTTGAAGATTCAGTAGGAAAAAAAGAATAAAATATCTCATTAATAATTTCATCTTGATTACATGTTGAAATAACATTTTAGAAATAAGGGGTTAGGGGCGCCTGGGTGGCTCAGTTGATTAAGCGTCTGCCTTAGATTCAGGTCATGATCTTGGGGTCCTGGGACTGAGTCCCACATTGGGCTTCCTGCTCAGCGGGGAGTCTGCTTCTCCATCTCCCTCTGCCTCTCCCCCAGGTCATGCTCTCTCTTGCTCTAGCTCTCTCTCTCTCACAAATAAATAAATAAAAATCTTTAGAAAAAAATATGGGGTGAAACAAAATATATTACAATTAGTTTCACTTTCTTCACTTGCAATGACTTTTTTTAAATGGAGTTACTAGAAAATTTTCAGTTAACATAGATCGTTTGCATTTGTGGCTTACATTAAATTGCTTTTGGAGAGTTCTGCTCCAGATCAACAGAGCTGGCCCTAGACGTTTCTGTAAGGGAATGGATTCCCTACTCTTTTGGTTCCTTTTCACCAGGCACTGAATTCATCTTTTTATTTTTTGAGAGAGAGAGTGGGGGGCGGGGGTTTGCAGAGAGAGAGAGAGAGAATCCCAGGCAGTCTCCACCCTCAGCGTGGAAGTCCAACAGGGAGGCTCGATCTCAGGACCCCGAGTCCGCAACCCGAGCGAAAATCAAGAGTTGGCCATTCAACCAACCGAGCCCAGGCTCCCCCAAATCCATCTCTTAATCCATCTCCGTGGGTCTCAGAACTGATGCTGTGGTGCGTATTGCTGCATCCCTCTCCCCACCCCTTTCAAAGATGGATTGGTCATCTAACTGCTTGGCCATCTTGGGTCCTTCAATCAGGGTGTGTGCTCTCTGACAAGACCTAGCCCAAAATGACACAGAAATCCTCTCAAAAATTCACTAATGGGGCTCTCGTGTTCCTCCCAAAGTCTGTGACATACATAGAATCTTTGTAAGCGACCAAGTCTCTTAGCAAAAATAGCATGGGCTTTAGAACCAAGAGACGCTGGAGTTTAATTTGATCATGGGATTAATTAGTTAATTGAATAAGCCACTCTGGGCCAGTCTTTTAGGTGGTAGGGTTTCGGTGGTGAACAAAAGTAACACTTTCTCTGCCCAAAAGAGTTTAAAGTTTAGAAGAGAAAACAAGCATTAAGCCAGAAAGCACATGAATAAATAGACCACAAAATACAATTCCAGCGTCTCCTGTTTTCATGTGCGAACATTCCTTATCCCTTCTGAGCCTCGGTTTGGTGTTTGGAACGTGACTAAAAGCTCCAGCTTCCAGGGGTCTGTGAGGATTAGAAAGAGTGATGACATTTGTGCAGGTAGCATTATGCCCAACACAGAGTAGGTGCCTGGCTAAATAAGAACGAGCAGCCAGGATCCTATTTATTTGTTGGCTTATTTATATGCTGCCCTGTGATGGGTTAAGTTTATATGTCAACTTGACTGGGATGTGGGATGCCTGGATAGCTGATAAACATTATTTCTGGGTGTGGTTTGTGTTTCTAAAAGAGATTAGCATTTGAATCAGCAAATGGGAAAGAAGATAGCCCTTACCCTCAGGGGAGGGTATCATCCAGTCCATTGAGGATCCAAATGGAATCAAAAGGTGAAAAAGAGCTAATTTCTCTCTTCCCCTGCTCGTGGATGTTAGAGCTTCTGGTTCTCTGGCTTCAGACTCCAGGACTTACACCCATGACCACTCCCCCACCTCCCCATCCACCACAGGGTGGGTTCTCAGACTTTGGAACTTGGACTGAATTATATTCTATCACCAGCTTTCCTGGGTCTCCAGCTTGCACTTTGTGGGACTGCTCAGCCTCCACAAGCCTATGAGCCAATTCCTATAATAAATCTCCTCTTTGATATATCTGAATATGTCCTGTTGGTTCTGTGTCTCTGGAGAGCCCTGGAGAGCACACTGCCTCATCCCCAAAGCCTTTGCAACAACTGGGTAGGCTGTTGTCACATTGCAACAGCCTCAACTCAAACTTCTTGACATGTCCTAAATCAATTCTTGGCACATAAGAAGCGTTCAATAAACATTTCTGGAAGCAAACTATACCTGGAACAGACCCCTTGCAAGAGTCCTAGCACAAACCTCCTCATTTGCCGAAGATGCTAGAAGCCAGAGTTGGCACAACTTACCCAGGAACACATTTTCAGTAATCCCTCTGGAAAAGAAAACACTGATCATATCTGCTAGGCACCTGTGGATGGAGAAGAGTCTGTGGAAGTGCAGTCGGAAAAGAGAAGAAAGACGACAATGGGGAGCAGGTTGTGGAGAGACAAGGAGGTGGAAGCCAAGGGGCCATGGAGGGGAGGAAGTGGACATAATGTCAAGAATTCCTCTTTCAGGAGGTTTGGTGATTAAGAAAAGGAGGGAGCCAAGAGCTCCATGGATGAAGCACTAGCATGAGGGGGCTTTCTGTTTGTTTTGTTTTAGAGCGGAGACATGAGCACAGTAGAGGCTGAGCTGAGTTGCTGGTTGAAATGAGGTGTAGACAGTACAAGAGAGGAAGAGAGCAGCTCTGACCCCCAAGCCCAGGCAGAAAGAGGATGGGTGAATGGGTGGGCAGAACAGGGGTGATCGGCAGCCTTAGAAAGTAAGGGGGCACCTTGGCTTCTGAGATGAGTAAGGAATGTGATAAACATTCAGTTCTATGTTGAGGGGAGAGAAGGACCATTTAAGAAGTGAAGAAGGAGGCAGGACACTCTGGGAGAGTGAGGAGGGCATCATATGCTAGTGTTCTGCCTGGACTTCCAGCCCAGACTCTCCTGAACTTACAACCCAGACCCAGGCTTCTCGAAGTCTGGTCTGTGGACCAGTGCCGGACCACACACTGTTTGTTGCTGGTCTAAATTCAGAGAAAGAGCTTTGTGTCCGAATGCAAATAAACAACATTGCTAAGCACACTGTTTAGTTCAACTGAATTTTTTCCTGTCTGAAAGGAGCAGAACATTAATCTACCTTCTAGCTGAGCTCCTTTTCTCATCACAGTGCACAGAGAAGGTACTTTTGGGTAACTCTGATCTGTACAGTCTCCTCCTGACAATTCAGCCTCGATACCCCACAGACCCCTCTCACCAAACTGAATTCATCACCTTAGCTCCCAAACTTGCTCCTGCTTCTTTGCTGTCTTCCTCAGTGAGTCAGTGTCTCCCTCCGACCAGGTCTCCAAGCCAGAAATGTCAGGGAGGGTCATTTATCTCACACCCCCTTCTCCAATCTTGACCAGTCATTCATCAGCCTGGTGGATACTCCCCCCTACATATAGCTCTCAAGTCCACCTTCTCTCCATCCTCATTCTCACTTGAATGAGTGAATGATGTCAAGGCAGAAACGGACAACTTAGTTGATTGCGTACTGAGCAGAGGTGATGGACGTGGGGTCATGAAATGCTGCCTGACTATGGTCAAGGTGGTCTCAGAGCCCAGACTGAACTAACTAAGCCTGTAAATGGAGTCACAGAACTCCAGCAATAGAGGTGGGGGCTGGAATCAGGCAGGCCATTCCTGAAAATCTTCCACTAGCTGAGCTGTGTCTTCTCTCACTGAATCTGGTTCCATTCACAAAAGGTCTCCTGGATCCCATCAAAAGCAGCTTCGGCCAAGACCATCTTTCAAATCAAAACTCCTACCACCTGTGCATATTGTCAGCTACTTTTCATTTCTAGGCTTCCTGGTTTCGCTCTCTTCCAACCCAAATATCACTATCCTCCCAACCCCCACCAACACCACTACCATTTCGGCTTTTGCCCTTGACTTAGACCCTGTTACTTAAAATCTTGTAGTTTCCTTTACATTCCTGTAACATATGACTTGCAGAATCTGGCCCCAGATTGCAACTTAGCAATAGATGGGAAGACCCACATCTGACACTCTACCTTGGTCTTTAGGACTCCATTGTCTATGTTGTGTTGTTGTCACTTTATGCCAAAAGAAAGATAGGTAGGACAGAGAAGGGGTGGGGGGAAGCTAACACAATCATCTGGAGCCAAATAATAGATTATAGCTGGAAACTCCCATCTTGATTTGGCTCAAGGGCCACAGCTATATTTGGCTGGCCCCTGACTGACATAATTATTATTGCCAGAAAGTAATTTTAGAAAGACCTTAAAAGGAGGACATGGGTGATTAAAGTTCTAATAATAACATTTCTAAAAAGTCTGGGTTAATGAATCTGTAACTCAGGTAAAAGAAAAGAGGCTTCAGGTGTTCAGGGATTAGTACCTGGGACTGAACTTGGAAAAAAAAAATTTCTGTTGGGGAGTCAAGTAGGGCAGGCATAGATCACATGCCCCTAAGAAGTCACGTGGAAACAGAGAGAAATGTTTCACAAAGCAAATAATATTTTAAATCCATTCACTGAGCATCCCTTATGTCAGGGTGCCGTACCAGTCCCTTTGCAGGATTCCCATGCGTGTGAGTAAGGCTGGTCTGAACATTAGCCTAGGCATTCTGGCTCTTTATGGCCAGAGTCTAATTGGCTGATGCCCTACCAGTTGTTAAATATTTTGAATGTCACCCTTGGATATAAGGCAAACTTTCTGTCCTAAAATAGCTTACAGTTTACAGGATGAGATATGCCCACGAGTAACTACAGTGCAATGCTGTCTCCTAATACTGGTTACAATTTTATTTCATGCTGTCCTTTACAACGTGATTTCAGATACTTGATCACATT